GTGTCTCCCTCTCTCTCTGCCCCTCTCCCGTTCATGCTCTGTCTCTCTCTGTCCCAAAAATAAATAAAAACGTTGAGAAAAAAAAAAAATTTTTTTTAAAAAAAGAGGGAGGTGGGAGATGACACCAGAGAAACAGAGGAGAGATATTAAGGGATTTGGAGCTTACCCTTAAGGCATTATGGAACCATGTATCGTAGGTTTTAGGCATTTATTCATCCATTTAACAAATACTTGAGTACCAACCATGTGCTAGGCATTATTGTAAGTGCTGGGGACACAGATGTAAAGGACACCAACTCCTCACTCTCATAGAGTTTTTATTTCATAAGGAACACATGGACAAAAGTGAGCAGATATAAAAGTCCGTGGTTCAGGAGTCTGGAAAGAAAAGGCGGGCCAAGGGGTAGAGAAAAACTGAGAAGAGAGGTTTTTTACATGGGGATGTTGGGGGAGCCTCTCTGAGGAAGCAACGTTTTAGCAGAATGACTTACGCTGTGAATTCTCTGGCCTTACAGTAAGCTACGCGTGAAAAGACTGTCTCGGGCAGAGGGTGCTGGAGGTGCAAAGGCCCTGTGGTGGGAGTATGTGTGATGTGTCTAAGGGATAGCAAGGAAGCCAGATGTGGAACGAGCAGAGGCCAGGGGTTGGGAGGATGAGGTCAGAGAGACTGTGCCTGATCATGTAGGACTTTGTAGGCCTTTTATTGTGGATGCGGTAGAAAGGTGTAGGAAAGCAGACGTGACACCATAGGACTCGTGTTTTAGAAGGATAACTGACAGCATTGTGGAGAAGAGAATGGAAAAGGGCAAGAGGTAAGTCAGGGGAAACTCAGATTGTTGCGGTTGTTTCAGGGAAAAATAATGTCCTCTGTGCAAAAACTAATAAAACGGGTGCCTTTAGAAGCATCTCCTCTCAGTCCAATTCTTGCCCTGTCAGGTCATTTAGTAGTCGTGGTCATTCGTCATTCAACTTCGAGATTAAGAGGACTGACATCAGACAGGGGTGAAGGGAATGAGTATAGAATGAAAGGAGTCAGAGAGAAGAGAGCCGGGATCTGGCAATCTGTTGAACCTGGAACATGAAGAAGCCGACTCCAGCACGAGCTGTAAGGTTCCGCTTTCAGGAACTGGGTCATCAATGGTGGTATTCTGGGGAGAAGGAATTCAGGAGGAGGAGCTTGGCTGGAGTAGTAGGCTGGGTAGGGGGATAAGGAAAATGATGACTGCGTTTGTGCACATGTTGAATTTGCAGTGTTACGAAGCACGCAGATGTCCAGCAGGCAATCGATTGTATAAACAGATCTGGAACTCAGCAGAGGACGGGGCTTAAGGTGCAGTCAATTCTTAGTAAGTCTCCGTGGACAATGAATTAGCAAATACTCAGTCTTTGCTCCCAGGGAAATGCAGGGGTAGGTGTCTCTGGCGATTTTAAGTTTTTCTTATGGTAGCACTAGGAGATAGGTACTTACAGCAGGAGAATGGTCCAGTGATGCCCGTACATGTTGAATTACAAGTTGTGGGCGTCATGTGGACTCTGTTGTAGAGGAAACAGGTTTCATGTTACAACGTGGTACAAAACTGATACTTTAACATTCCAGATATGTAAGTTTATGTATATGCTATACCTTAAGATTCTTCTATATTTAGTAGAGCTTAAATTCGAGATCTCCCTCACCTCAAAGATCAATTTCAGCAATCACTTCTTTTACAGAAGGATGAAAGATCCGGTACAGTGAAGATATAATTTGATAGGTAAAAATTTGCTTTATGCGTAAACTTTTAGAAAAGCTCCGTTACAGAAAACAAAGTATAGTATGTTGCCTTTGGAGTTCATTATGCTGATGTACCACTGTATGACATGAAGGGAAAGAAAACTTGGAAAAATTTGAAGCTTTAAGTACATCTTTTGTACTTTGTTTTAGGGTGGTACATGACTTCTTTGGATGGACAGATGGCTTTATTTGTAGCCATAGGATTCATACAAGTTCTAACTTTGTTTTTCCAGTTGTAATGTTGGTCAAGCATCACAATCTAAGATATCTACATTAGATACATTTCACACTTAGAGAATGCAGAAGAACATAACACTCTTAAAAATATTACTTGAGGGGCGCCTAGGTGGCGCAGTCGGTTAAGCGTCCGACTTCAGCCAGGTCACGATCTCGCGGTCCGTGAGTTCGAGCCCCGCGTCGGGCTCTGGGCTGATGGCTCAGAGCCTGGAGCCTGTTTCCGATTCTGTGTCTCCCTCTCTCTCTGCCCCTCGCCTGTTCATGCTCTGTCTCTCTCTGTCCCAAAAATAAATAAACGTTGAAAAAAAAAAATATATTACTTGAATTAAGATAGTTAAGCCACAACAAGGTTATAAAGCTGTAGCAAGGTTATAATTGGAATAAAAATGTAAAGATAAGGTAAATGTACAGAATATGTAAACAATATTAGTCATGTTTTAAAACACTATTATGAAAAAAAATTATCAGAATATACCATTTTTATTTTTTACACTGTTATTAAATTCAGTTATGTAGGGAAGTTAAAAGTGGAAGGAACTTCAGGTATTTATCACTCACTTTCGACATTCACGGCCAGTCTTGTTTCATCTCCAGTCCTCTCCTTTGTCCCCCAACTGTCTCTGGATTATTTGGAAACAAATCCCAGACATCATTATAGATTTTATCTGTAAATATTTCAGTACCTATTTCTAAAGATTAGGGACTCTCTTTATTTAAACCATAATGCCATTATCATATCTTAACAATACATCCCTAGTATCATGAGATTTCTATTCAGCCATGTATCATTTCCTAATTGTCATATATATTTTTTATATTTTACTCACTTATGCGTTGTAAATATATAAAGTCAGGATGCGAATTAAAGTCCACAGTGATTGGTTCAAAGGTCCTTAAGTTTCTTAGTCTATAGTTTTCCATATATCTTTTTTTTTTCCCTTGTAACTTTTTGCTTAAAGAGTCTGGGTCACTTATGCATAGTTTTCCATAGTCCAAAGTTTGCTAACTGCATTATAGTGTAGTTTATTTAATGTTCTGTTTCTTATAAACTGGTAGATCCGGACAGAAGCTTAATCGGGTTTTGTTTTTCCTTCCTGCAAGATTGTCACGAGTAGCATGTAACCAAGTATTATTTTAAAGCTGGTATTGCAGGTGGTTTAAGTCCAGATTTTAAAGACATCCGGGTGAATAAAAGGAGTCTAGTCATAACATGTTGTGAGGCAGATGATTAGTGACTTATCTTTCTGCAGTAGTGGAAATTACCTCCAGGAATCTTCTGCACAGAACCAAATAAGAGGACTTGAAAGGTATTCTGTAGGGCTAGGAGTCTCAAGGAACCTGCCCTTCATGGTTGTAGTAGACACTGCAAGCTGCATGCTAGGCTTGACAGATCTATGCTTCTGGCTATTTCACTTTGAGTTTAAAAATTCAGCTTCTCATTCATACTACATTTCGAGTGCTCAGTGGCCGCAAGTGCCTAGTGGCTGGCTGTCGGGTGGACGGCATTGATCACAGAACATTCTATTGGACATCCTGTTTTAGATTCTAGAGAGATCATGGGGTAGACAAACTGAATGAAATTTCCCTGCTGTTCAAGCATATTTTTAGTTGATACTTTCTCTATAAACCTTATCGTTTGGATTTTTGCTTTTTTCTGTTTTTTTTTTTTTTTTTTTAAATGTTTGTTTGAGAGAGTGCAAGCAAGGGAGGGGCAGAAGGAGAGAATCTCAAGCAGGTTCCATGCTGTCAGCAGAGAGCCGGATGCAGGGTTCACACTCACAAACCGCGAGACCATGACCTGAGCAGAAATCAAGAGTCGGATGCTCAACTGAATGAGCCATCCAGGTGCCCTGTAGTGCTGCTTCTAATGGAGCACTACCCTTTTAGAATAGGAATACTGCAGGGCCATTCGTCTGTTGGTAGAAACCATGAAAAGTGTGTTTTTGGACAAGTTTGTTATAGATACCATTAACGTCTCTCCTGTTTTTAATGTTGTATTTCAGCTTGCTAATACATTTATCTAGATTATTATATCCAGAAAGCATACCAATAGGTAACAGTATAAACACAGATTAAGCTGATACAGTGAAAAGAAAGGTGGTGACATTTGCTATGGTAACATGGTCAGAAACAAACACATTGTTTCTATTTTACAACATTTTTATGAAATGATTTCACAGAGTGAAGTTTTACAGCACAAAAAGTAAGTCAGCACAGATAGCCAATTATTTTGATTCTCTTACTCAAACTGTTATACTGGAAGCAAATTTTATAGCTCGTTGAAAGAATTCCCTCAGTTCTAAAGGTACTTTGGAGAGACAGCTCTTTCGAAAGGATACCTTTTATCAGCTCTGTTGCCTATGAACATTAACCTACTGGCTGTCCTACCTGCCTTCCAGGTGAAGAAACAGTGTAGCATTTTACTTTATTTCTATTGGGTCTAAAAATACTTTAATTGAACTCTGCTTAACCTTTTACAGCGGAAGTTCAGAGTGAAATCGAAAGGATTTTTGAACTTGCAAGAACATTGCAACTGGTAGTCCTTGACGCAGATACTATTAATCATCCAGCTCAACTTAGTAAAACTTCCTTGGCCCCCATTATAGTATACGTAAAGATTTCTTCTCCTAAGGTAAGTGGGGTTGTTATTGTCTGCTCTGTAATCACACTTCACTGTGGCGTTTATGTTGTGCTTTACACTTATAAAAGGCTATGTTTCTAACATCAGGAGTGTGAAGAGACAGGGTAGTCAAGAGTTCTTAATACAAGCGAACACCTGGCTTACAACAGTGATTCCTAAAAGTGTGGTCCCTGGTTTCCTGGAGGAAGGTTCTGAGAAACTTGCTGTGAGAGTCCACAAGGTCAAAATGATTTCCATAGTAATACCAAGACATTATTTTCCTTTTTCAGTGTTTGGGCATTTGCACTGATGGTGCAAAGGTGGGTAAAAGTTAAGTGTCCATGACTCGAGACTGGTACCAGACAGCACCCACAGTGAAGAAAACCACCACCGTGCAGTTGTACTGCGCAATATCCTGACACAGGAGTAAAATCTGACTCTTCAATACAAGCCTTTTCAATATCCTGTGTAATGAAACAGGAAGTACATTTGAAAGTGCTTCAGCTACAGTTTTAGCAGTTAGCTACCTTGAGGACACTTCGCAATACAAACTCAAGTAGCTTCTTTTCTCATGGAACACCATTTTTATTTGAAAGAACAACTGGCATACTATGTTTATTCAGACTTGCTTATTTGGCAGATCTTTTCCCATTTGTCACCAGTGATAAAACTGAAGGTTTCAAACAAAAAAATAGAATTTCAGAATATTCGAATCTACCCGAGAGCTTACCAGGTTCTCAAAAGACAGACTTTTCTGAGATTAGTGGTAATGGCAAATATCTTATTTTAAAAATGTGTCAGAAGATCTGAAGAACTCAGTGCACCATTGGTTTTCCAGATGATGAATGAATGATGTCACAAATCATGCCTAGTAAAAGATCCGTTCAAATTTCAAGACAGGGCAATGGAATTTAAGAGTAAGAGAAGTTCATGGATAGGGTGTTAGCTTTCACGTGCAGACTGTCGTGAAGAAAGTAGTTTGGTGTAATGTTAAAAGACAATATCCACAGTTACCTGCAAAGGCTACTAAAATACTCCTCCTCTCCTGAATTCCCTATCTGTTGAAGGATAAATTTCTTCACATATTCCAACCAAAACAATACACAGTAGCAGGTTAAAAGTAAGTGTAGCTAGGAGACTTTGCAAAAAACTATAGACACTTGTACAAAAATAAGTAACATGTTCACATGTAACAGGTGTATGTTCTAAAGCTCTTGGGGTTCTCAATTTTTGTAAACATAAAGGAGCCACGAGACCAGAGGTTTGGTAAGCTTCGGCATAAGCTCCATGCCAGCTGGGTATTTTTTTTGAAGCCTGCACCTGACGTGTGTGTGAACGCGTTAATTCTGCAATCTTAGACATTTTGTAGCTCAGTCTATTGAGCTGCTTCTTCAGCTGAGTGCAGATGTTCTCCCGTTACACCTTATCTCGCACAGGTTTTACAAAGGTTAATAAAATCTCGAGGGAAATCTCAAGCCAAACACCTCAATGTCCAGATGGTAGCAGCAGACAAACTGGCTCAGTGTCCTCCGGTAAGTGGTCTCTCGGAACGGTACAATCCACTCTGCGTCCTCAGACCTGGCGGCATATCCACAAGGCAAGCACACAAACACCGGACGGAATTCTCCCCACCGAGCCGTGGTCCTCACTCCCAAGAGGTGAACTGTCCCACCCGTTCCCACAAGCACTTGTCTAGATCATGGCTTACAAAAGGCTACAGTGCATTCCGTGGTGACCGTGCACTGTTAGTATCTAATTGTCTTAAATGAAACAAGATTGTGGTTTCAAAAATTTCGTTGCTAAAATGGATTTGGGATTACTATTCACTTCTAATAATAGGGAGCAAGTTGCTGGCTCTTAACAACTGAGAAATTGATTTGAGACCATGTAAAAACAAATTTCTGAACATTCAAAACACCTTCTTCCTTCTAATCCCTCCTTTACCTATCATGCTTTGGGACCCTAGATCACCTCTGGGTTTTTGTTTTGTTTTGATATGCAGGTATAGCAGAAGTTATAAGAGTTCTGATTATATTAATTTTCTATCGCTTAGAATATTTTGAAGTTTGCACCCTGTCAAATCATCTGTGGTTTCAGCTTTTTTCTGCCAAATTTCATGTCCTAAACGGGCCTCAGTCATTTCCAAGATTAAGTTTTTCATAGTCTCCATGTCAAAAAACAGGCCTCTTCTCTACTGTCCAGATTGTATTTTTGTTTTCTTTTTTTACTTCTCTTTTCTATCGTGTCCTAAACAACTTTCACGAGACCTTTCATATTCTGGTGATTGCCACGGTTAAGCATCAAGGGTTGTAAATGATGATCTCAGGCGGACAGACTGGCAATCAGACTCAGCAGGGCAGTCAGCCGGTTAGGTAAGGAGAAAGCAGGAGCACACGAGCAAATACAAAGTGGTGCAGCTCTTGAGCCCCTCCCTCGTGTGAGTGTGTGTGTGAAACTCACTCGGTGCGGGGCTGGCTAAGTGCGCCACCTGAAGTGTCTGTCTCTGCAGGAGCTGTTTGACGTGATCCTGGACGAGAACCAGCTGGAGGATGCTTGTGAGCACCTTGCCGACTATCTGGAGGCCTACTGGAAGGCCACCCACCCCCCCAGCAGCCATCTCCCCAACCCTCTCCTTAGCCGGACGTTAGCTACTTCGACTCTGCCTACTAGCCCCACTCAAGCCTCTAATTCACAGGTAAGAGGAGCCCTTCCTTACGCCCTAGAAACCGAGCTGCCTTAGGTCACGTGGCCGGGATCCACTCCCAGTCACCCAGCACAGCACTCTTTCCAGTTAGAGCAGCTCCATCCACACGGAGTCATTTTCGGGTACACAGCTCCCACTGAAGATAGCAAACAAACCAGGTAGACAACATCCTACAGACGTATATAAACTTTAAAACTCCCTAACTACATGTTCTAGAAGACAAGGATAGAATTTCCTATACCATCTATATAGCACAACCATGGAATCAGACTGCCTGGGGTCACGTTCCCGCTCCACCGCTTACTCTCCATGTAAGTTTGGATAAGCTCCTCATGTGCCCCTTGCCTCACGAAGACTGATGGCAACCTGTCCCCTACGGCCACTGCATTAATGAATTAATACACAAGACAGACTTAGGACAGTACATTCCTCATGCTAAGTGCTGTTGGGAGCACCTGTCATTTTACTTTTTTCCCCTCAATCCAAAGCCAACATCTTAAGCATTTTTTATCTTCCCGTGTGTATTCAGGTAGAGGTAGTTAAATGTGCACTTGTGTGCAGAAAATCCTTAGGGCCCTGAATCTGATTTGAACTCCAAGAGAACATATAAAAGGATCCCCTCCCCCCTTCATTTACTCATTAAGGGGAAAAAGAAAGTTCCTCTGTATGCTGTTGTAGGCTCTTACAAATTCAAGTCCAGTATAATGTAGTACAAACCTTAGAAATGCCACTGGGTGTTATCAGATGTACGGAGTAACTGAGTAGGTGAGATTTCATTCTAGAAACTTAGAGGGGAATAAACCTGAATGCATGGGCTTGCTTTTCTGACATGTTACTTCCTGACGCTCTGGCCTTGGCTCATGCCTGCGCTGACTTCCTCCTGTGCCAGGGTTCTCAAGGAGATCCGAGGACTGCGCGCTCTGCTCCTGCCCGTTCCGCCTCCCAAGCTGAAGAAGAGCCCTGCCTGGAACCCGCCAAGAAACCCCACCACCGTTCTTCGTCCTCTGCCCAGCACCACAGCCATCGTGGTGGCACGAGTCGAGGCCTCTCCAGGCAGGAGACGTTTGACTCGGAAACCCAGGAGAGTCGAGACTCTGCCTACGTGGAGCCGAAGGAAGACTACCCCCCCGAACACGGGGACCACTACGCCCCACACCGCGACCACAACCACAGAGAGGAGCCCCACGGGAGCAGCGAGCACAGACACAGGGAAGCTCGACACCGTGCCAGGGACCTGGATCGAGAGCAGGACCACGGCGAGTGCAACAAACAGCGCGGCCGGCATAAATCCAAGGATCGCTACTGTGACAAGGATGGAGAAGGCATAGCCCGGAAACGCAACGAGGCTGGGGAGTGGAGCAGGGATGTTTACATCCGCCAGTGACTTCTGCCCTCTTGTGTGTTTGTTCTTTTTTTTTTTAAGTCTTGTATGACACCATCCTCAGACTAAATCTCTGGGGTCTACATTGCAGTCAGATGTGATCTGTCTTGTATACTCTGTATTGCTGTTGCTTGAATAGCAATAGCATGATTGATAAGGAGTATTAATATACCTTTTTTTTTCCTCTTGCAAGTGCTACGTAAGTTGGCCTCGTATGGCTGCAGTGCTCCGGTTGTATACTGGACTTTTCAAAAACTGTTTGGGATAGCTGCCACTTGAACAAAATCTGTTGCCACCCCGGTGGCTTTAGTATTTTAAGAAACATAGTTGATGTTTTCAAAAATGTAGTTAATGTATCCAGCAAGCCAGAATTGGCCCAGATAAAAGTGGAATTTCCTGATTCTCCAGATTTTTAATATGTAGGCACCAGATCTGCATACTCATTTATCCATGGACCACTGTTTCTTGCTTGTACCTCTGGCTGACTAAATTTGGGGACAGATTCAGTCTTGCCTTACACAAAGGGGATCATAAAGTTAGAATCTATTTTCTATGTACTAGTACTGTGTACTGTATAGTTTGTAAATGTTATTTCTGCAAACACCTTCTTATGATAATTATATATATAATATATAAATATATATATATATCAGTTTGATCACACTATTTTAGAGTCTTAATGCCAAGTCAGCAGATTTGCTTTATGAATTACAGGGACTAGAGATGCCCACCTTCAGGAAATTTGTTATATCGTCTAGACACCTACCCCCATTCTCGTAGAAAGTCTGTACATACTGTAAATACGCGTGATTGCTTGACTTGAAAAGGTTTGATTTCTGAATGTTTTACCATCCTTGTAAGTTTATAACTTTGACCATAAATTATGGTAAATATAACCAAACTCCAAAGGTTGTTCTAATCCATGCAGTTCACACTGATTGTGACAAACACGTCCTGAGTAGTTAGTGTCTTATGTCGCTGCACTGGACTTGACGAGCCGGACCTCTCTGTGTGCAAGTGCGTCTGTGTGTAAGAGCGGTACGAGTGTGCACGAGTGACTGAGATGGACCCGAGTGCTGAAGACTCGAGACTGATGACCTAGAATTCTACCCACCTGGCTTTGTATTTAATTGTGTTACGTGTCGCTTTAAAAATAATCCGTTGAGCAGTCAGGGAATGTGAGGAAGCTCGCTGCCAAAGGTGATTAGGAAGGCATCCATGTGCTGGCTCCTTGTGTTTGCTCCTAGAGTAAGAACACAGGCAACTTTTAACTGTGAGTGTTTCACTGGAAATGTACAATCTTTGTGTGTTTGAGTATTTGTTTTAGTAAGAAATGTTTACACAGCTTGTAGAATTATTTCGTGGGAAAATAAATTTTTCTACCTTCTCCCACCTCCTTTTCTAAACCTTGCCTATCGTTCCTGTGGTCTATCTCCCCCAGATTTACCCTTCATTCTGTTCCTTACCACCAACTCCAACACGTCAATGTCCGTCAAAACCCAGAAGTGCTTCTTACAACCAAAGTTTCTGCTCTTCAGAAGTAATCAGGGCAAAATGAGGGGACTTGAAGTGAACAAAACATTAAGAATATCTTCCTATGTTAGACACCTGCTCTGAAGGGGAGCCCGGAAGATGCTGTTCTCCACGCCTCAAAGATAGCACTGTCAGCAGCTCACAGTGTGGTTGCCACGCTAAGGCTAAAACCTTCTCCGTGTCACTTATGTGTCCATTTTGTCCAGTTATGACTGGACAGGTAAGACAGTATTAGGTGTGCAAGTACCTAGCACCTGAAGTTTGTCCCTGGAAAAGGCCCATCTATAATTGCCTAACTTCAGATCTACACATTGTAAAATTATTATTAAGTCGGTTCATCTAGTTTTGTTCTGCTTCTTTGATTATTCCAGGTTCTTGCCAAATATTCTTGGAGCTTTATATGTAAAACTTTCACATTTAACTCCTTATTTCCCTCCCTGCACAGAAAAACTCAGTTTTACAAATGAGTTACACTTTAAGGGTTTTACCCGCTAATGGAAGAAACATTTTCCTCAGAATTAATCTTTTTGTTAATTAGCTCTGTACTGTTGACAAATTTATTTACTGAAGATAAAAACGGTAGATGTAAACATTTTTGATGTAAAATATTCGTATCATTGGGAAACCATATTCCAGTTACAGTTACCTGTGTAAAATATTTCTGAACTTTCATCCCAATTAATGACTTTGGAATATTTAAATTCTTGAAATATAACTGGTATTTATCTTACTTGCTGCTACCACTAATCTTTCAACGAGTCATGCCAACAGATTCCGGTTTTAAAATTTGTATCTGGATTCTTAATTTTTCACTTACTGTGAAACATAGTAGTCCAAATCAGAGTATTCCTCAAAAAAAATATATTGCAGGATTTGACATGAACATCTATATGTGTGTAAACAGTGTGTTCTAAATTTGTAAATGAAGAAATAATCCCAAGGGCAATGGGAGATTTACTGATTTGTGGAATGTAAAATTAGTCTCTTCACTCAGCAAAGGCTTAATCTTAACCTACTCAGTTGTAGAATCATGATCTTTGTAGTCGACCTAGAAAATGCTGGAAATGTCCTTAATAGTTCTGTGTTTTATTGTCAAATCCGTTTCAGTTCTTCCTATGCTCTTTCTCTACTGCTCATTTAAGTTACTGTTACAAAAAGGTGCTGCTAAATGTAGGATGTCTTAGTCATACTGTACTTTGGGACAATGCCACATTTTTAACATGGTCTGCTATGCATTCCTGTTAAACATTCACTGTCAGCTACACTGAACTGTTCAACAAATCTGGTTTAAAGTCATTCATACAAAACAAATAAAGAGCTGGCTTTCTGCACTGTTTACTAGTAGAAGTATTGATTGCCATTTTAGGGATGATTCTGATAGTTGAGAATACGTCCTGTTTTCAACACCAGTGCCCACTTGTGGAGCAGCTCTCAAGGGCAACGCTAATCACTGACGTTACTTTAGCGACGTTCCCGTGATGTCGGATAAAATGATCGTGTACAGTAGGTAAAGATCCTTTAAGATCAAGCAGAGTAATCTTTCTCCTACGTTAGTTTTACATGTGTGGCAATTCTTGATTCAGATTGTTTTTGTTATTCCTTCGTTTTTAAAATGAAGATCCATCTTGACGTCAAATTTAAATCCTCACCCTCATCCCTCCACTCAATGATACAGTGCTACTAGTCTTGGACGCTAACCTTATTTCCATGCCAAGGGTCACGCTGTTGGAGAAAACAGCCACTAGATCGTTCTGGGTCAATTACTTAATTCTGGTTAAATTGCATTTTCAACGACTTGTACTTCACTTTACGATTTAAAGTAAACTATGGCACAGGGTTTTGAAGTAAAATGTACTCACTGTTAAACTGAAATGTTTTTGTTTCACAAGAATATGTTAACCCTAAGTATGTTAAGAGATAATATATTGTCCTCCACATTTCCCAGATTTTTTCCCCTTTTGTTCTATTTTTTTCTCAAACTTAAGTCCTTTAAATGTGTTTTATTTTCCAATTTGCCCTACTTTTTGAAGGAAAGAAACCCACTGAAACTGTCTATGTCAAAGCAACAATTTTTAACAATATTCTTTGTCCTGCTGTTTTTAATATGCAAATATTTTTCATCAGTTTTGCCTGCATTGTTTGTATTTTGACAGTTGTCAGTGTTAATCAACAGTTTACATGTTTACTGCTGGGCTCCCGGTCTGTGATTTTCATCCCAGCTTAGCACAAAAGCCTTTGCAGAAAGCAGGGGAAGAAATGGATTTTTTAAAACACACCGGAAGTCTGGAGAAATGTGGTGAGCTCTAGAGACAGAAGTGCCACAGGTAAACGTGTTTCTCTTTAGTCCAATGACATCTACTGGATAAAAGGCAGAATGAAGGATATAAAGAAGTCAGTCACACATTTGAATCTTATGGACCTTGATATATCTTTTCCCCCATTAAATAAGCACGTATTGATGATCTGCTCTAAAGCGGCGACAGAAAAAACAGGATTCTTGCCTCCAAGACTTTCCCAAGCATGGGGGGAGGGGTAAAGGGCATGGCCAATAAACTATGAGTGAGTGTGTCAAGTACCATGACAGCAGCAGAAGTAGGTCCTAGGGATATATGGAAAGACAGAAATGCCTAAGCCAACCTCGGACAAGGATATTCAAGAAAGGCTTCTTCAAAGAAGAGGCCTGCTAAAGAGCTTACCTGATCCAAGTGACCTTGCAATCTTGATGGGACACAATAGATAGAAGAAATTCTGAACAGAAACCTAGGAGGGAAAAAAAAGAAACTATCAGGTAGTTGTTCCCAGTTGTCCACCTTATATGCCCAAGGCTGAGAAATTCTGAGATGATTCCAAAGGAAGTTAACAAAACATTTAGATGTATTTAATACCATATAAGGGCTGGGTATTGAGTACTTAAATATATCTCATCTAAAAAGCAATAGGATGAAGCAAGCCTAAGGTTATAATTTTTAGTAAGAGCAGTCACATTGCTGCTAACAGCGGCATGTCTGGTCACTTTTAGGGGATGTTCTGGATTTTGCTGGATTCCAGATTTGATCATGAGGTACCCTTTTTTTGTCTTCATCTACCATACTCACAGTTGCTTTGTCTGATGTTGGGAGTTCTGTGAATGTGTTGATGATCAACAGAACACCAAAGCTTGGCTCTAAGGGTCAAGCCAGTTCCCACAGTTATCACAATAACTTGCAGAACAGGTATTCCAGGGGATGATGAAAGGTACCCAAACTGTGGAATACTCTCATAATTTTAATCTACAGAGTGAAGAAAACATTGTAGTTTTCAGTTTAAAAGCATGAAAAAAAAAAGTAAACATGGTGAAGACACACTACCATTTAGGAGAGGTCCAGATTTCATTTCAAAGAGTTGACTGATCAAATAGTAAGCAGAAAACCTCAGATAAAATGCTCACCTCAGTTATGAGTACACGAAAAACATTATAGTTTCCAGGCCCTGAATTTTTAGAAAACTACCACCCCTTAGGAACTCTCAGGAACAAAACACAACTTTTTATCAAATTAAGTATTACTCATTTTATTCCTCTTGTTATAATCACAGATTTTAACATTAAAAATGATTTGTATTCTTCATACATTAAAACACAAAACCCCAAATGAAAATATGCTCCAGATATCTGTAGGCATCTCATTTTCTTTATACTGTGCTAAATCCTTAAGAAAACACATATTTTAAACACAAAATATAATCTTGTACCACCCCCCAACTACCTCCTCCGTGAAGCGGTCTCTTAATCAAGCCTCTTGCTCCCTGGTACAACAGCTGGCAGCCTTTTCTGTTTCCTTAGCAACTATGTCATCAATCACCAAGCCTGACAACAGTTTGATTAAAAAAAAAAAACACAAAAAAAAAACACAAAAAAAAGGAGGGAGGAAAGGAAGGAAGGAAGAAAACCAAACAAAACCATAGAGCTAATGTTTGGAACTTTGGTTTCTATGGATCCTACGTGCTTTTGCGTTTTATGAATTTTGCAATAAAAAAACCTATACAATCTTTATTTGCCAGCCAAATCATGTCTTCTATTCTGGCATCTCCGAGAGAAGCGATGTCAGTGTCCCGAACTGGCACAACAGATGGATCAAATCGCTGCAGCTGTTTCAATTGTTCAGATGATAGGCCGGCACCCATCATTCCTTCTCCTCCAATCTGTGGTTCCTGGGTGGAGAAAGGGAAAAAAATACGAATATCCTATCATTAGTAAGTGTGCCTGTGTACAATTTAAAAGACAAAATTGAGGTATAAGTACCACCAATTCCAAAAATAGATAAATGTTATCTCTGTGGAATATACGTGCAGTTTTTCTCGGTGGTAACAAATGGTCACCTGATGAATGACTATCTGTTAGGACCCATCTGCTCATCAAGTACTGCAGCTTTGCCACATTTTAGCTGCATGTATTTTTTTTTTTTAATGTTTATTTTTGAGAGAGAGGAAGAGAGACAGTGCGCGAGCAGGAGAGGGAGACACAGAATCTGAAGCAGCTCCAGGCTCTGAGCTGTTGGCACAGAGTCCAACTCGGGGCTCGAACTCAGCAACCATGAGATCATGGCCTGAGCCGAAGTCGGACGCTTAACTGACTGAGCCGCCCAGGCAGCCTTGGCTTTGTGGTGTTAAGCAAGTAACTTTACCTGTCTCCTCATCTGTGAAACAGATCAAGTACTCAGTTCTAAGACTTCAAGAAGGTGGTGGTATGCCCGGCATACAGTGGCCAGTCAGTGAAACATCATTATCAACAACAGTAATAAATACAAATTCAGCTTTATCATCACATTCCCCAAAGCGGACCTAAAGGTGCCTTTCTCTGACCCACACCAATTGGATGATAAAAGTCTTCTTTTGTTGTTTTTAAATGTACTAGAACAATTATTACAAAGAGATAAAGTAAGACTGTGTCAGTTGGTTTATAATACAGAATCATAAGGAACTGAGTGATATGTGTGAACCATGACCACAAAAGATCGACAATCCTAACTTCAGTCACCAATGCACAAACGTTTACGTACTACTGAAAACCTATCGTTTATTAACTCCTGGGCAGAAAGTTTCTCTCTCTTTTAGGTATATATTGAGTGTTGTGTATACATACACACACACACATAAAATTCAAGTGAATTCTGAAGTCTTCCTTTCCTCTACAAAGCAGTTATCTTAACTTCTGAGTCTAGAAACCACCTCTCAATTTTTATTCATATATCCCAATTACCTACTAGAATTCTGTACAGGAAGGTTACTGAGGTTAGATGTTCAATGTATCTAACTGAATGTGAGTATTGTTACATATTTAAATTAACCTCAAACATCATGAGGTAAACATATAGTCATAATATAGTTTTGATAAAAACCAAAACAGGTCAAATAAAGTGTAAGAAAACTTTTAAAATGCTACATATTTTATGTAACAAATTGTGAAGAAGCAATAATCCTGAACCATTTTCTCCCCTCTGCTAGTCTTCTGATATCCCAGTTATTACAGCTTATTTGATTGAGAAAAAAAATGCTCGACATACTCCATACCAGCAAAATGTAGGACCAGGAGAGGAAAGGAATAAACAACTCTTTAGGGAAAAAAAAGGTCTGTATAAACTGAACAAGAGCCACAGGTGAAAGAAACCTGTAACACAAGTACACCTGAGCTCTGTGGCATTTTGACACAATGGCAAAGAACGAAGACAGGGAAAAACTGCTGGGACGTGGAAATTCTCTGTTCAGTGTCAAATGGATCTCACTGGAGGAACATGCTTGTCTATTGCAGTATTTGTTTCTGAAGTTTCGCTGGACACAGTTTTTCATATGACAACCTCGTGTTTATCACCACACTCATGATTCTGTGATCTGTCACATTACACAGAGAAAACCGAACTTACTCATACCTGGGGCTGAAGCTGGAGGCAAGGAAAGGTTGCGAGGGCCCAGGCAACCTGTTCTTCGTTTTCCGCCAGTGTGATGGTGCACGTGCTGTAAACCAGCACGCCCCCCGGCTTCAGCAGCTCAACTCCCTAAACAAACATGTGATCAGACTACGGGTGTACCACAAGGCAAAATCAACATTTTACAGGATTTTGTATCTGTAGGACACCTTTCAAGTGTTTGGGATAAATGTTCTGTATGATCAAGACTCACTCTCTGAGTCGAGTGTTCCAGCCCAGGTGCATTTCACGCTCTTGGAACTGTTAGTGCACTGAAACCAAGACTTTCCTAAATGTAAGCATTCACTTTCACTACTTTAGATACCCCTTTTTATGCCCAAAATCACACATGTACACTTTGTAAGCCATCCTCCTTTCTGAACTCTGTACTCATGTACTCAATCGCCTTCTCCATTTGTCTACTATCGAATTTGACGTGTCTCAAACTGAACACCTGTCTTCCAAGACCTTTTAGAGAAGTGCTATTTTCAGGCCCCCAACCGGAGATGATCTTTTACGCCTCTCTTTCTCCTGCACTCCCATCCGCTAGCAAATTCCATTGGCTCTACTTTTAAAATATATCCAGAGTTTGGCCACCTCCCCTGTCATCATTCTGGTCCAAACTACACCGTCTTTCGCCTCCTTCTCAGCCTACCTGCTTCCTTGTCTGCCCTCCTACAATCATCTCCAGACAGCAGCCAGAGAGCAGTGTTTTTAAAACTTGTCACTTCTCAGCTCAAAACCCTTCAAATGTCTTGACTTATCACTTGTGGTCCAAGCCCAGGTCCTTACGGTGGCTTTCAAAGCCCTACACAGAGCAGGCCTCTGGCTGCCCTTCTGACACGCCTCGCTCACTCTGCTTTAGCAACACTGGCCTCTGCTGTTCCAGAACACACAGGGCACAGGCCCACCCCAAGATCCGTGCACAAGCTTGGAAACTCTTCGAATTCTCTGCGTTGCCTCCTCACAATCTTATCTCTGTGTATATGTCACCTTTCCAGGACTGCCCTCCCTGACCATCCCAGGTAAAACTACAACTACTCAAATCCAGCAATCCTACCTTCCCTTCTTTAGTCGGCTCTGTTACTATACATAATAACTTACTCATCTGTTTATATCTTCCTCCCCATTAGGAATAGACGCTCCATGAATAAGGCAGGGGTTGTCATTTTTTCACGGCTATATTGGTAGCACCCAGAACAGTCCATATTGTGTTATGGTCAGGTGCTCAATGAATATTTGTCCAGTAAATAAATGAATCAAGAAATAAGGTGTTAACAAGAAAATTAATTTTTCCCAAATAACTAAAAACTGTATCTTTTCAAACTCCTAGATATTTAAAAACATTAAAAAATTTCTTTTAATGTTTATTTATTTTTGAGAAAGAGACAGAGCAAGAGACAATGAGCGGAGGGGCAGAGAGAGAGAGGGAGACCCAGAATCTGAAGCAGGCTCCAGGCTCCGAGCTGTCAGCACAGAGACTGACACGGGGCTCAAACCAACGAGCCGTGAGATCATGACCTGAACCAAAGTTGGACGCTTAACTCAGTCACTCAGGTGCCCCAATATTTAAAAACATTTTAATGAAAGTCTTTAAAATATATCCTATACATAGTATACTATTACACACACACACACACACACACACACACACACACACACACTATATGCCATCTGGTATTTATAAGTATGAATAAACTATATAATAATATATACCATCTATACTACATATATGTATTTTTATTACATATAGTATATATTTGTGCCTTCTTAACTAGAGTATGCTGATGAAAATTTAAACTTTGTAAATGTGTGCCAGTTACTGTTTTAAGCATTTTACATGGATTTTCTCAATTTACTTATAACCATGAGGCATAGTTACTATCTCCAATGAGGTGACCCTATCAGGTGGATTTATAGTCCCCATTTCTCATATAAAGAAAACAATGTACCTAAAGTCACTCGTGTGGAAGCTGCACAGTTCCAAACAAGATAGTGTCTGATTATAAAGTCCACGTTCTCCATCAACACAACTCCGTACTAAACAGCAAATGTGCTATATTCTGAACTCTCTCTCGTAGCTATTCCTTTTCATTGAGATCACTGCATCTACTCCTAAGAAACCTTTTAAAATGTTCTTTCTGCTTTGACCTAAAAAAGAACAAAAAGCCCAGTCTTTAAAAACAGTGTCTTAATTTTACCCTCAACTCAGAGTGGGTTTCAACCATAAGTAAAGCTTCCTTTTTGCTGTTTGCTGTTTTAACTTCCAGGATGTGCTCTTTGAAAACTGAAGAAAAAGTTCAATAAATACCCTGAGTGCCACCTTTGGGTATAAAAGGAGATAACTAGAGAGATGAGCAGAAACACGCTCAAAGGTAACTTTAGAGACTGCATAATCACAGTGTACCCATTTGCTGCAGCCTATGCATTTATAATTGCAGGGCTGAGAGAAAATAACAAAGTCATCTTTGATCAAATGCTCTCTACATTCTGCGAAATCCACTGAATCACGTTCGCAAGCCGGGAAGAAATCCTCAAATGTTCTATTTGGGTTTCTCTCGAAACGTGCTAGAGACCAGTGAAATTAGCCAAGTTTTTACGGTTCTTCTATATTCTACACTGAATGGTCACTTCTCATTTTTATTGATGTGTTTCCCTTCTCCTGGACTCTTCCCATTTCTAACACACTATCGAAGATGATCCAGGAACCCTATAAAAAAAGAGTAACTCATTTATATCCCATTCTTTACACATCAGTTAGCAACTATGATGTTAACAACTCAGTGACTTCTTAAAATGTATCAGAATGTTGGAGACCCATTAAATGTCTCAGTGAAGAAATTCTGCCTCTGCCTGTAATAAAGAGTGATCAACACAAATGAAAGCTTCATTATTTAAACTAGGTTTTCTCTGTCCTTTTCCATGTGATAAAACAACATAAAACTTGACATTTTAACCATTTGTAAGTGTACAGTTCAGGGGCATTAAGTACATTCACACTGTCTGCACCCATCACCATCACCCATCTCCAGAACTTTTCAGTTTCCCAAATGCAAACTCTGTACCCATTTTAAACACTAATTCCCCATCCCTCCAGCCTCTGGTAATCTTTCTTCTCCTTTCTATCTCTAAGGATGTTCCTATTCTAGTTACCTCATAGAAATGGAAACAGACAGTATTTGTCTTTCTGTGTCTGGCTTATACCACTTGGCGTAAGTTCCCAAAGTTCATTCATGTTGTGCCAGAATTTCCTTCCTGTGGAAAGCTGAGTAATATTCTATTATATGTGTACACATTTTCTTATCCATTCACCTGTTGATAGACAAGTGGGTCGTTTCCCTATTTTGGTTATTGTGAGAAATGCTGCTATGAACACTGCTTCTTGGTCTTTGAAACATCAAAGTAGCGAAGGTCAACTTTTTTTTTCATATCAAAGTATCATCACCTACCACAGTAAAGAGTTTTCTCTGTAATGGCTGATATGATGTCACTTCTTTCAAAGTCCAAGAACAAGCCATGTTTGGTCTCTGTCCCATTCCACTGCATGGTGCATCAAGAAGAATTCGGTCAAAAGATTCTCGTAAGAATGGAGGTTTTCCTGTGAAGAGAATTATAAACATACTTGTTATGTGCCTATAGGTGTAGAATAGAAAACTCCTGACATAGGGGTGCCTGGGTGACTTAAGTCTCATGAGCGTCCGGCTCAGGTCGTGATCTCACAGCTTGTGAGTTCGAGCCCCGTGTCAGGCTCTCTGCTCTCAGCACAGAGCCCACTTCGATCCTCTGTCTCCCTCTCTCTCTCTGCCCCTCTCCTGCTCATGCTCTCTC